CCTCAATCATCTAGCCAATGAAATTTCCACATCTGTACACCCATGGAAACAACCTCGCTAAAGCAAACACCACTTCGCAAATGTGTACACTGCGAAGAAATGTATATTTTCGAAAGTGTTACACTTTCTAAAATTACATATTGTGAAAGCGCAGCAGCTTGTACGCAGCACTAAAAGGCATCGTCGAAGCGCTTTTCGCCCTTCTCCGACTACAAAAGAAGGGGTTTCGGCCATTTGGCCTCACCCACGTTCTCATTTTTGAACTTTCAAGTTCAGTTTTTGCCCGTCACGCTGGCGAAGACACGGTATCTCCCTCGCTTCCATTTTCCCTCTACTCTTCTAACGGACATCGTCAACCACAACCTATCAACGATGGCTCCTACTAATACCAACCACGACGAGGCTACGAACGGGAACGCCCGACCTTTTTCCGAGTCCGGAAAAAAGTCAGGGGAACCCGACCGACGTCCGAAAATGAAGGCGCTGGCCACTATTGTGGAGGTCCTGCTCGGAGGAGGAGAGCCGAGCGGGACTCCCGCTGCTGCACCTCGCCCCAGTCAGGAGCAGCGCGTGGAGCACGCGCCTGGCGAGAAAGAGACAGACGCGGCTGACGTCACGCCAGCCGCGTCAGAATTCGCGCGTAGCACAAGCACGCGCGGTCAAGGCAGTCGCGCGCCGGCGAAGGCGGGCGGCCACGCGCCAGCACCCGCCCCAGTTTCGACCCCCCCGAGTCTGTCGCCGGACCAGATAACGGCGCTTCTGGCGATGTTACAGCAGCAGCAAACTACAGCAACTCGTTCGATTTCGGCAAACGATACGTATTTATCTGCAAAACCGGAGAAGAAATGTGAGTCATCCCCGCCTCCTCGCGCCACCAAGCTACCGCGCCATGCTGAGACGCCTTTCAACCCGGCACCTGCGGCGCCTGTTGAAGTGCCGGAAGAAGACAGCGACAACGACAGCGGTGAGGCCCCTCACGACACCGATTTTCCTACCATCCCCGAACATCTCCCGCCTCTCCCGTCTCTTAACCCGAGCGTGGCTGCAGCATCGTTCACCCGCAAGGGTGTTCGCGAGCAAGCTGAAGTCTTCGAGGCCCTGCTGACTTACCTGAAGCATGCCGACTTCAAGGCTCGCCATGGCGACGTCGACGGCGACCGTTATCAGCTCTACCAGGCGAAGATCATCCTCACCTCCCGCCCGTTCAAACAGGCGGCGGCGGATGTGGCGGCGGCCAAGAGGAACTACGGCTCCTACGCTCGCGGTACCCGAAGCCACGCACGCGAGGCTACATCGTTCAGCCCCAAGGCCTCCATCCCCGCTGCCTGCGGCACCCGGCCCTTCAAGGGCGCCTGCTTTCGCTGCGGGCAGATGGGGCACATGGCCAATGCTTGCCCCTCGGGTGGCCCGGGTGCACAAGGCCCCGCACCCGTGGTGTGAGGGGTATCTACCAAGGCTAAAGGCGTGAGGCCTTTGAGTTCACCCCCGAGAGGGGCAGATGTGATTGCACCAGGGGGTGCAAGGCCAGTGGGCCAGCCCGGGGAGGGCAAGGACTAGGGGTCCTAGGACCCAAAGTCCTTCGCTAGCTCGTTAAGTGTAGGGGAGAGCGCGGGGGCGCCTATCTCTTTTTGCATGTGTGTAGGCCTTGGTGTCCCTTCTTGCTTTGCTTGTGTGTAGGCCTTTGGTGGCCCTTCTTTCTTGCTTGTGTTTAGGCCTTGTGGCCCTGCTCTATGCTTGTGTGTAGGCCCTGGTGGCCCTTGTTATATGAATGATAATGGGAGATGCGACCATGTTCTTACTTCCAAAAAAAAAAAAAAAAAAAAAAAAAAAAAACAAGAGGCGACGAAATCGTCTTAGGGTTGCGAAGCGTTTTGCGAAATTACATAAATTTGTACAAACTCTCCGTACATTATGCTGTAGTATGACACTAAGTGGTACTTCCTCTGACTTTGCAAAGATTAAAAAAATCGCATCAGCAAGAATCGAACTGGCGACCTTTCAATTCCGCATCCTGCCTCACACGACTAGGACAGAACCAATGTTTTATTTGAACTACAGATAGTGTAGGATCAAAATCTTTGCGACGAATCTGGGACTACCTTAGGGTTTGCTCGTCCCTTTTTTCTCCCGCTCCTCCTCGCTAGTTGAGCTCCCCGCCAGACACGCTCCACCTACTAGTGCAAGGTAAGAACTACCCTAACTTCTCATTTTGAGCCAAATCAGATCATTAGAAGCTAGACTACCATTTCTTAGTCTCATATCGTAGTTGTTTAACATAGTATTGGCCGCATGTTGTTTAAGCCTTAGGTTCTAGGATTGTTGTAGATACTTTAGCTTTAGGTCTTTCACTAGATTGCATCCATTCTTCTACTATTCATCGTCTCTTTCCTGTTTTGCATGCTTACAACCTCGTATTTGCATATTTCATTGACGTTTTTACTTCCTTTCTTCTTATGTTCTTGTTATGTCGATTTGAACGCTAACCTTCTTTTCCTTGATAGCCAGATAAATATAAACCATTTCGACCCGAGCAACATGTCGTTCTCTCTCTCTCGTCCTACCTCTCTCGTTCTCTCGTTCTCTCTCTCTTTCATTCTCGTTCTATCTCTCTCGTTCTCTCGTTCTTTCTCTCTCTCTCTCTCGTTCTCTCTCTCTCTCTCGTTTTCTCTCTCTCGTTCTCTCGTTCTCGTTCTCGTTCTCTCGTTCTCGTTCTCTCGTTCTCTCTTTCTCGTTCTCTCTCGTTCTCGTTCTCTCGTTCTCTCTCTCCTTCGTTCTCTCTCTCTCTGTCGTTCTCTCTCTCTGGTTCTCTCTCTCTCGTTCTCTCTCTCTCTCGTTCGTTCTCTCTCTCTCGTTCTCTCTCTCGTTCTCTCTCTCGTTCTCTCTCTCTCTCTCTCTCTCTCTCTCTCTCTCTCTCTCTCTCTCTCTCTCTCTCTCTCTCGTTCTCTCTTTCTGGTTCTCTCTCTCTCGTTCTCTCTCTCTCTCGTTCGTTCTCTCTCTCTCGTTCTCTCTCTCTCTCTCGTTCTCTCTCTCTCGTTCTCTCGTTCTCTGTCTCGTTTTCTCTCTCTCGTTCTCTCTCGTTCGTTCTCTCTCTCTTGTTCTCTCTCTCTCTCTCGTTCTATCTCTCTCGTTCTCGTTCGTCCTCTCTCTCTCGTCCTCTCTCTCTCGTCCTCTCTCTTTCGTCCTCTCTCTCTCTCGCTCTCGCTCTCGCTCTCCCTCTCCGTTGTATATCGTCGTTTCCTGTTTTATTACTTGCTCTGTTTTTTTGGTTCTGTTTTTTTAATGTATATCGTTCTTCATCATTTTTTTTCCTTACCACCATTTGCTTGCATTCTGTTTGGTTACTATGTTCTCCCCATCTGCCTTGCTTTCTTTTCTATTTTCTCCACACTTTGATAATTTTTTTCTTCTCTCCCCTCTTCCTTTTTTTCCCTCTCCTTCATCACTTTCAGTGTCATTTCTCTCCTATCCTCCCTTGTTTTGCTTTCCCATTTCCTCTACATCGAATATCATATTGCACCTTTCAGAAAGCCAAGTTCAGTCTGCAAAGTGGGAAGAGTTGTGGTGATTTGCAGAATTCATTTTTATTATATTTGTTGATTTTGTTTTGCACCTTCTATTGTTATTGTTTTGACTTTGTTCTGGTGTGAGTTGGGGTTTCTGTGTTCGTGTGTGTATTCTTCTATACTCATTCACTCATTTCATTGACAATGCATGTCTGTGGGTCTTAAAAACTTGATCAGCCTATCATTTCCAAGAACGTTCTTTGCGCACTCAGTGAGTGTGTCCACTTGAACGGGATTTGATAGAACTGATCATTTTTTTTGGGATACACAGATTGTGTTGTATTCATGTGATAGTTGTATGACTTAATGCTATGCTATTGACTTCCCCCCCATGCTAGGCAGGGGATGCGGTAGCCTAGTTGTTTAGGTCTTATAACTATCACACATTTCTATCATTTAATGGCATACATACTGCAGTAACATGTACCATACTATTATGCATTCTACTACGCATCATATTCATGCATTATGCAATCATTATTTAAAACCATCATACTAATATACGCATTACTGGATTCACAGCCACAAAGTAGGCAAAAGGTTAACACACAGACGGAATGGAGCACATGGCCACATACGTATCACAACAAGTATAGAGAAGTAGTTCTCGTTGTTTTTTTCCATATTTTAATTTTACAAAATATGAAACAAAAATTGAACATAACGATTGTAATAGGTTGCTTCGCAACCCAAAAACACCAACCACAAACACCCACACATTGCAATGGAAGGGGCACTAGAAGGTCTTGGAATCCAGCTTGTGGGGCAGCCAATGCGCCACCCAATGGTGGTTGGCTGCAATCCAGCCCCTAAGTTTCTGGACTTGGTCTTGGCCCGTCACGATGCACGGTGCAAAAAAAACAAGAGGCGACGAAATCGTCTTAGGGTTGCGAAGCATTTTGCGAAAGTACATTCTTATTTTTATTCAACTTGTAGCTTACTACATGGAAAAGTAGTGTGAAACTCAATACAATTCCTTTTACTTGGTTCGGGTTTGAAAAGCGTGTCAGCAGGGATCAAACCTGTGACCATTCAATTGCGTGCCAAGTTTCTATCAACTGCGCTACAACTACTTGTTCGTAATGGCACAAGAATATTAAATAGAAAATGGTTTGCGACGGAATTGGCACTACCTAGGGTTTCTTCTCCTTTTCCTCCCTTTTCCTCTCGCCAGTTAAGCGTCATTCTTCACCTGCACCCGCTAGTCACGCTCACCTACCTGCCACTGGTGAGAATGACCCTAAGCTTTAAGTAGAACTAAGTTAGATGCTATATTCTAGACTAAACTAAGCATTGACGGCCCTTAGTATAGCTCGTTCATATTGCTGTTATGTAGAATGTAGAAGCCTCAGCCATTTTACATTTGCAGCTAGATCGTTTTTAGTCCGTTTTATCTCTAGAAAGCATCTCATCATGTTTTTTTTTCGAGTTCTATCCATGTTCACATTTCGTTCAATTCGAATGGATTTTCGTCTTCTTTCTTTTCCTCCTTCAGTTCGCCTCCTCCATATGCGCCATATGCTCCCTCATTTCCTCTCGCCAGTGGAGCTTTTCTTGACATACGCCGTCTACTTACGCTCCAGCTACCTACCACTAACAGGTGAGAACTTAGTAAGTAGAACTAAGTTAGATGTTGTAAGATAGATGTGGTATCCTAGTCGGAAATTGTTTAAACTAAGGTTGACCTTCGTAAAGACTTCAGCCTTTCCTTGTAATTCCTACGCTAAACTAAGCTGAGCATAGCTAGCTTTTATGAGATCTTCTCATTCATGCATGCTTCCATTCCGCCCGTAGATCCTTTCTTCCTTACTTCCTCCCCCCTACCTTTTTCTTATTCAGATTCACTTCCTCCCCTTGGTTATTCGTTTCGTTTCCTTATTTGGGTTCCATTCCTCTGATCTATTTGTGTATTTCTGTTATCGGTCTATCTTGTTCCTACCGTTTATTGCGTCTTTCTTTCTCTTATGTTTCTCAATCTCTTTTCTATTTTGATCTGCTTTATTCTAGCTTATGTTTCCACTCTCTTGTTATTCCATTCATCATCCGTTGCCTCCCTTCTTGTTTCTTTTCTATCGTGTTGGATTCTTTATTTCTTCCTCCTTTCTTCTCTTCCTACTTTCATATACAACTTCACGTTTTTGTCTTCTGGTGTAATTAGATTGATACATCTTCATATCTTAGACCATTGAAATGTTAGACCATTGAAATGTACGTTAAATTGTGGCTTCATATTTTTCCCTAATATTCCATCCTATTACCTCTTACATTCTCTGCCATTTCTGCCCTCTTTCTTATATTTTATTTCTTACCTCTTACTTATATTTTATTACTTCTCTTTCCTCTCCTCAGTTCTATTTGCCTCCCAATTTTCTTTCGAATACTTTCTATTCAGTCATACATTCTATTTCTCACTGTCTTTGTGTTGGTTCGCCAATGTTTCCCTTTCACTTGGTCATTCAATCTCTGCGTTTGCCAATGTTTTACTTGGTTTGTAGCATGTCATTCAATCTCTGCGTTTGCCCTTCTTCTGCCATTTCTGCCCCCTTTCTCCTCCTCTCTCCACCCCTTCGTATACCCTATTCCCCGCAGAGGCTGTGCCGTACCATTTGGAAACTCAACTTCAATGTGGAAAGTAGAATGATAATAGTGCTGATTCGTATAATTATTGGTACCATACTGTTTTGCTGAATTGTTTCTGCATTTCATTTCTTACGGCTTTGTGTCTAAGTTTTGTGTGTGATGTGCGTATGTGTGTGTGTGTGTGTGTGTGTGTGTGTGTGTTTGTGTGCATCCATATGCATCTCTTATTGCATTAACAATGCATGTCTGAGTTTTAAAAAGATTATCAACCTATCATTTCCCAGAAGGCTTTTTGCCCACTCAGTGTGTTCATTTGAGCTGGATTTGATAGAATTGATATTTTTTTTTAGGATACACAGATTGTGTTGTTTCATGTGATAGTTGGATGATTCATATGTTGGATGATTTCCCCCCCATGCTAGGCAGGGGATGCGGTAGCCTAGTGTATGGGTCATTTAACTTCACGCATTCCCATCATCATATGCATTCATTTCACGGACTTGCATACTGAAATGCATACAATTATACATACTACATTAGCATGACATGTGCACTATATTTATGCATTACGCATTAAGCATATCCATCCTTATATATGCATGCTAGCTGCTATCTCCGTGCCAACATAATTAGTACGCATTACCGAATAAACAGCCACGCGTTCACAGTAAGAAGTTAAAAAAATACGGTAGTACCGGTATGGCACGTGCTAAATTGTCATGGCGAATAATATATCGTCCAAAGTTTTTTTTTCTGATATATGAACAAAAAATTGTACATAACGATTGTAATAGGTTGCTTCGCAACCAAAAAACGTGGATACCCATGAGAGGATGAGGTGTGGCTCTCTCCCCTGGGCAAAGCAAAACGTGGATACCCATGAGACAACCAGGGCAGTGGCCCTTTCCATATACCTCGGCGGAACCGGGCCCATGCGTATCAAAAAAAAAAAAAAAAAAAAAAAAAAAAAAAAAAAAAAAAAAAACCACGTGGAAATGACAACTTTTCAAAGGTGGGCGATAGAGCGCACGTGGGGACGCCCCATGGAGACATCAACTCTTTGCACCGCATGGGCCGAATCCCCGGCCAATCACGGCATTACGAGCATAAGGACGGCCTTGTCGGTTCTAATTTAACTACACTCCTACTCCAACTGTGAATTCGACATTGCATATTGTCATCCTAACTCAGTACTCGGCCATAATCCAATCGATGGTTGCAGGTTTCACGATCCTGGACGGACACCCCGATTGTGACCCTTACGAGCACGCAATTACCAATTTACGCATCACGTTCATGAGCGGCCGACTCAAGCACGCGTTCTCATGGTGGTGCTCGTGGTGTACGAGCAGTTTCATCCTCTCCATCATCCCAAAAGGCTATTGGCTTCCATGGAAGGTTGCCCCTCCCAATCCATTCTCCGCACCCAACCACGCTGGCGCCTACATTCATGCGAACTTCACACGCGATGCGATAACTGATCTCTTGGGCATCAGGAGCAGCAGCGGAAGCTCGCCCTGTTGGCGAGCTCACTTGCATCAGCCCCCTCAACGTCGTGGAACAACGCGACAAATGTCGGTTGATCCTGGATCTGCGTCGCGTGAACCAGCACCTTGTGGTTCCTAAATTCAAGTACGAGGGCCTTCATCGCGTGGCGGAATTAGCTCAACGCGGTGACTGGATGTTCTCCGTGGACCTGAAATCGGGGTACCACCACGTGTACATCCACCCGACGTGCTGGAAGTTCCTCGGCTTCCAATTCGAAGGTCGCTCCTTCCACTTTCGGTCCTTACCATTCGGTCTCGCAACGGCCCCGTCTGTCTTCACCAAATTGATAAAGCAACTGGTTACGCGATGGCGTTCCAACGGAGTTCGGGTTGTCCCATACGTCGATGACATTCTCTTCCTCTGCAAAGGTCACGAAGCTGCACCACGCACATGCTCGACGGTTGTTGAGGATCTGCGGCATGCAGGGCTTGTCATCCATCAGAAAAAATCCTTGCTTATTCCGACCCAGCGCCTTCGGTTCCTGGGTTTGGAGCTGGATACAACGAGATGCACCTTCTCAGTGGGAGAAGAGCGACGCACACAACTGAACGCGACACTGGCCGTCCTCGAAGCCGCAGGACATGCCCACCGACCAGTTCCCGTTCGCCAATTGGCACGAGTGACTGGAATGCTTGCATCGATGTCCCTCGCTCTAGGGGCCACGACACGGGCATTCATTCACAGCATTCTCCAGACAATTTACGAAGCAACTTCATGGCACCAACGGTTGGTGCTCGCACAAGAGGCAGTGCAGGAATTGCAGTTCTGGCGGGCCGAGTTCGACCACTTCAACGGAGCACCATTCCACATTCGGCACAGCTTCGGTGCGGTGCTGCACGTGGACGCAAGTGCCCATAGTTGGGGGGCGACGTTGGCAAGCTTCCCAGGCTCCACAATAGAAGCCGCGACAACTATGCCTGAACCTCTGCGCTCGACGTCGAGCACTCGTCGCGAACTCGAAGGAGTTCTTTGGGCTCTTCGGGCGTTTGAAGCCCACCTAAATGGCAAGCATCTACTCGTACGTGTGGACAACCAAGGGGTTGAGAAGATTTGAACAAGAATGAGTGAACTATGAAATGAAGTGAGTACAAATATGAAACCCTAATTGGTTGTACCCCCTATGGGATACCCCACTATAGCCTACACAACAGCATAAGCTATAATGTTCTGACACACCCCCATAGGCAAAGTGGGGGAGAACAAGGGGTCACAAGACCAGTCAAGCAAAGTAAAGCAAAGCAAGCTCAGGGTGGATCACAAAGTCACCACACAGTCCGAGCACAGGGTCAAGGCCACACGGCCAGTTCACATGCAAGAGTACACACATATATATAAAGCTAGACAAGCAAGAGCAGGTATATATATATGTGAGAGTACAGGCAAGGTCAAGAGGAGAGCAAGTGAGGCAAGACGGGCACAAGACCCAGCTGAGTGCAGAAGCGCTGATGATCACAAGGCGGAAGTGCCTTGGTGAAGACATCAGCAGTGTTGGCCTCAGAGGCCACGTACGCAAGCCGCAACTGACCACGTTGCTGTAGCTCACGAGCAAGGAAGTAGCGGAGAGCAATGTGCTTTGTTCTGTGCTCCAGTCGCTGCTCTCGACACAAGGCCAGCATGGCCTTGTTGTCTACGTACAGGACTGGAGGAGAACGAGGCGGCTCTCCAAGGTCGGTCAGCAGGTAGGTGAGCCAGCGAAGCTCCTGTGCAGCCATGGCCCCGGCGTAGATCTCAGCCTCACAACTCGAGCCAAGAACAGAAGACGAGCGAGTAGCCCGCCACGAAACAGAGCCGGAACCAAGGCTGAAGGTGTAACCCTGTGACGACCGCTGCGTAGCCTGGTCGTCAGCCCAAGAAGCGTCCGCGTGCCCAGTGAGGACCACTGGACTCCGCCCTCCAAGCACTAGCCCCATGCCCGACGTACTGCACAAGTAGCGCAACACCCTCTTCGCTGCAGCCATGTGCTCTGGTCTGTGTCTCCCAGGAGCAACATAGCGTGCCAGAATGCTAAGAGGGTATGCAAGGTCAGGTCGTGTGCAGGTCATCAGGTACATGAGGCAGCCAACAAGCTCTGGGTACGGGCCACTCGACTCTACGGACTCATCCGAAGGCAGAGCTGAGAGCGAGTGGCGAGTAGACAGAGGAGTGGCCTGAGGCGAGGAGTACGTGAAGCCGAAGCGCTGAAGGACCTGCTGCACCATGTGTGACTGAGTCAGGGTAATGGTGCGGCGTGCTCTGTCCCGGGTGATCTGCAAGCCAAGGTAGCTGCGCAGTTCACCCAGGTCTGTGCACGTGTGTCTCTTCTGCAGCTCGGACTTCACGTAGGCGAGTCCAGCAGTGTCAGCTGTGGCAAAGACCAAGTCGTCGACGTACACGAGGATGTAGAACGGCGGCAGAGAGGTGTCGGTGCGTAGAAACAGCGACGGGTCGGCAGTAGAAGGAGCAAACCCAAGAGCCGCAAGTGTAGTCCTCAGTGTGTCGTGCCACTCACGTGGCGCCTGGCGGAGACCGTAGACTGGACGTCGGAGACTCCACTGGGTACCAGAAGGGAAAGACCCAGTGAAGCCAGGTGGGCGACGCAGCCAGATCTCCTCGTGCAGGCTGCCCTGCAAGAAAGCTGTGCTGAAGTCAAGAGAGTGCAGCTCGTAGTCACGGTGAGCAGCAACGTGCAGCAGTACCCGAAGAGTGGTCATCTTCGGGGTGGGGGAGAAGGTCTGAAAGTAGTCAACTCCCTGCCACTGACTGAAGCCACGAGCCACGTAACGCGCCTTGAAGACAGGCGGAGAACCCGGCGGCCGCTTCACCCTGAAGATCCACATGCCACTGACGATGTTCGCCCCAGGAGGGGGGACAGCGTCAACGTAGGTGCCTGTGGACTTCCAGGAAGCCATCTCTGCATCCATAGCTGCCTGCCACTGAGAGGAGTAGGGACCCTCTATCGCCTCCGCGTAAGAGCGCGGAGTCGGGATGTCAAGTGCATCCGGGTCTCCCTCAGGGGTAAGCAGTGCGGACACGAGATGAGGTGAGGCAGCTGCCAGAGACTGGAACTCCTCCTGCCTGTCCTCAAGGACGTCCGTGCCAAGGGCACACTCACCCCCGACGGACGGAGGACAGACAGACTCAGACTCAGCGACAAGACTAGCAGCGTAGTCTAAGCGACAGCGAGCAGCAAAGTCGACGAGCTCAGTAACGAGAGCAGACGCAGCAGTAGACTCGAAAGAAGGGTCAGTGACAACAGTAGCAAGGAGACGCGTGACAGTAGGACTGGCAGCACGAAGAGAGTCCGACTCCGGGTCGGCAAGAGCAGGAAGAGAGGACTCCGGAGGAGAAGGCAAAGGGGCACGCAGAGGAGCAGTGGACGGACGCAGAGACATCCGGTGCGTGCCAGGGACAGGAGGAGGACGCTGACGCGAACCGCGACCACTAGTGCGAGCAGCACGGACAGGCGACGCAGGGCGAGACGCAGGCTCACGACGCTCAGCCAGACCTCCAGTAGGACCAGTGTAGGGAG